TTGTACAAAAATTATACATTTCTCATGACCCACATTTGTACATTCTCCTTTTTTTTTTTTTGCCCCCCGGGAGGGGGCGGGGGGACAAAGTCTCCTTTTATGTGCTCGCTTGCCTTAGATCAGAAAGTGATCACCTCCATTGCAAGTAGTAATTGATTAATGCCCCAAGATTATTGAAATAAAAAGCGTTAATTTATTCCGAGCCAGTACGACTTTTAATTTCTATATAAAAATATATCTCACAGGGTTTGAACTTTGAACGCCTTGAACGATCCAGTTACACTATAAAATATATAAAGCGTCAATTAGAAAGTGACTTCTATAGCAAGTAGTAATTAATTAATGCTCCAACATCAATTGAAATAAAAAAGGTTAATCCGAGCCAATACGATTTATATAAAAACGTACTCATATCTCGCAAGGTTTGAATGTACGGCTCATTACACTATAAATAACGCCCGCAAGTGCAAGACCAAATCAGGCTGTGTGAAGCTTTAGGCTACAGAACTGCTCTCATATTTATAACCGTCCATATATAGCTAGAGAAGAAGCCAGCAAGCTAAGCTAAGTATGAGCCCCACCATGGAGAATAATCATGAATATGATGTTTCTCTTGATGCTATGATGCTGGCAAGTGCCATGATTTACCCCGCTGTGTTAAATGCTGCCATTGAGCTCAACCTGTTTAAGATCATTGGAGAGGGAAGCCCTAAGGGCATGTCGCCCTCTGAAGTTGCTTCAAAGCTTCCAAATCCACATGCGGACACGGCTCGCCGACTCGACCGATTGCTGTGTTTGCTGGCAAGTCATTCTGTTTTGACTTGTTCTTCCAAGAAGCTTGATGATGGCACCACAGAGAGGCTTTATGCTCTTTCTCCTACCGGTAAATACCTTGTCCCCGATGAAGATGGAGTCTCTTATGCCTCAGTCTCACTATTAAGCTACCATCCAGCTTATATCAAAGTTCGGTAAGTTCTTCATGTGTTGATCCGTATATAGGGGCTTTAACTATATATTCTTATTTTAACATTTTTGCTGGTATATGCTGTGAATATAACAATAATGGCAGGGAAAACATCAAGCAAGTGATACTGGACGAGGAAGAGGACCTGTTCAAGAAAGTTCATGGGATGTCGATGTTTGAGTACATGAAAAAAGATGCGACCTTCGAAACTCTTTTTCACAAGGCAATGGCCGATCTTTCATTCATGCACATGAAGCAGATCCTTGAGAAATACCAAGGATTCGAAGGAATATCAACTCTGGTTGATGTTGCTGGTGGCATCGGCCAAAGCCTCAAAATGATCGTCTCGAAGTACCCTTCAATTCAGGGCATTAACTTCGATTTGCCACATGTTGTTCAGCATGCTCCATCCTACCCAGGTAAATATCGTTGATGTTTAAATCGTATCCTTTCCAAAACCCATCGGGTAATACAATATTTCCTTCAATTCTGAGCTAACATTTATGATTTTCCTCGGATTATATATTAAAGGAGTCAAACATGTTGGAGGAAGTATGTTCGAAGGTGTCCCGGAAGGTGATGGGATAATGATCAAGGTCAGTAGGTTCAACTCATAACTGATACTGATAAATCCAAAGTTTTGATAATGATAATGCCGTGCTTATATTATTTTTTTTCTTGCAGGCTACAACTCACAACTGGGCAGATGAAAAATGCATACAAGTTCTGAAGAATTGTCACAAGTCCCTCAAGAAAGGTGGGAAGCTTATTATTATTGACCTAATAATGCCGGAAGCACCAAATGCAACCGACGGAGATAAATATGTTGCGATTCTGGACAACGTCATGTTTCTGCAAGCTGGTGGGAAGGAAAGAACCGAGAAAGAATTGGAAGCACTGGGCAAAGCTGCTGGCTTTTCCAGCTATCGTGTTGCCGCTCGTGTTTTCTCATCTGCCCTGGGAGTCATCGAGTTTTACAAATAAACCAAATACAAAGCGAAGTTTTATGAAGGGAGCTATATGACTTCTGAATGGGCGTGAGTGCGTGTGTGATGCATACATTTCTTCATAGTGTTGAATATTGTTCTGATGTAAGGTGCGCAAGAAACAACTTATTAGAACTGTTGTTATCAATTAATATATTCATGAGTTATGAATAATAAGACGTAATTTTTAAATGTTGCTCAGTGCATGAATCTTGCATATCTAAATATATATATATATATATATATGAGGTTTTGCATTTTAATTAGTTGTTCAAAGAAAAGTACTTGTACGTTAATATATTAAGAAGCTTTCATAGTCATCGACTCATTTCATCGTTTACAACATCAAGCCATATATGGACTGACCACTACAGAATGAAGATGACATGATCTTGTGAGTAATTTATAAATAGATGAATAATGTAAACCTTTTTAATTGGAAAAATGAACTGTTTTAATTCAGCATTTTAGATGGGGAGAAGGCTTTTTTCAGGGAGTACGATTAAAAGTTTCAAGGGCTAAATAATAAAACAGTCTAGTACATTAATAAAGGAGCTAATTAATCACCATTAACAGTTGATTCACCTGTTCCTCTCAAGTGAAATTTTATGTTTTGAACCTAGTAAGTGAAGAAAAATATTACTGGCAAAAGTTTCCATCCATATTGTTCAACCTAACGTGCTTGATAAATGGCAAGATGAATAAATACAATTCTTTTTCAAATTAAAGTTTAAGTAGAAGAAGCTTGGTCACTGGAGGGATAATGTGTATGAATCCTGTGAAAAATTTAATGTGTGTATATGATTGCAATCCACTTGCAATTCGATATGTGAGCTTTTAGTTATGAACATGGGATTAAAGAATGGAGCGCGGCCAGAGGATCCTCTCTGTTTCATTGTTGAATCAGACAAACTATAAGACCAATGATTAATTATGAGATGGCTGACGAAATTAATTAATTATGGCATGGGGTTAATATTTTCATGGTTCCACCGGCCACCAATTCAAAATCTATAAGCTGTGACCAAATCTTCCTCCCTTCCTTCCTTGGGATGAAGAGATGAAAACTCCCCCCCCCCAAAATAAACACACATACTGTTCTATTGGAGGCACTATCAAATAGTAATTGTAAGCGATTAACTCCTTTGGTAGAGCCAAGACCAACCCCTGTTGGTTGGTAAGATATGAAAACTGTAACAAAGGCATTGCTGAAAATGGGAATGTGATCTGATCATGACGATTGACGGACATGACATGCCTGAAGAAAGAGTCGTTCTCCCAAATCCATCCAAAATGTATGAGTCCAGTAGATGAAGTCCAAAGAGCGAGGGCCCAAGAGGCCCACACGCCACCCATAACCCAAAACAATCTGCGAATTCAATGCGAATCCAAGGTTGACTGAAACCCCCCCTCGAATGTTAGCAGTCATTGGTCTCTGTGGATCATTTTCTTACATTTGATCAAAAACCATGATGTCACATGTGACGATATCACCGTCCACCGTTTCAAATTCCACCTTTGACAAATTTTGCACACAAAATTGACTAACCTACAGAACACATCCACACACACACATATGCTCCCAAAATAAGCCACGCACATAAATTCAACATCTCTTAAAATAAAACTAATTTAATGCTATGAATTGTTTGGATTGATAAGGATTGAAAGACGGGTGAATTGCTATAAAATTCTAAATAAGAAACTTAATTATTAAAAAATTATAACGATAACATAGGATAATAAATGACAATTACTCATTTGTTATTAAAATTTGTTGATAATTATTTTTGTGTTTAGGATCTTATTATAATTCTTTAAAAAAAAAAAAACTACACTAGCTATGATATTTTATCTAAACTTCACTTTGACGTGACGAACCATCATACTGACCGAGCATCTTCCTGAGCAGCCCCCATTATGTTATGTTATCATATTATTATTTTAAGATAGCCAAAGACTAGGCTTCGCAAGTGAGTCTTTTGCGTCATGATTGGGATTAATTAACATTCACACATTAACAAATATATATATACTCCTCCTGTCCTTAATATAAAACCCATTTAACTAATGTGATTAGATTAATAAAGTTAGGTAAGTTAGTTAATTATAAGAAACGTGACACGTTTTTTCTAAAATACCATAATCATATTTCTTAATACCTCATTTTCCTCTTCTACTTGATTATAGTTGACGGAGTATCCAAAGAGATAATTTAGAGAAAACTAATAAATATAAGAAATGAGTTTTATATTTAGGACTAAAACCAACTCAATAATTGGGTCCTATATTAAGAACAAGAGGAGTATATATCTTTGCCCATTGACTGTAAAACATTGGCACTGCTAATAACTAAACACGTTATTATGTCACTAATCTGTCATGTTTATGTTTCCAGATTTTTTTTTGGGTAAATTTTTTCATAGAATTCTAAAACCGTATAATACAAAGAATGAAAGTGCATGTAATATATATAATTAGTATTATATATAATTCTTTCCTCACAACTTTTTTTTAATTTTATATCTACAAGAACCTGAATGATAAATTTCACCACAAAGTTGGACTCCGAACTTGTGGTAATTTTTTCAGTTAGATTTCTTTTTTGAAAAATGTTACAAATCGAAAGGATAGAGAAAGGGAATATTATAAGAAAATTTTTGGAAAAAAAATCACGTCTGCGCAACGTGCTGTGTGCTCATTGGACACACACACACTGAAATCAAGTATGTCAAGTGGGAGAGAGTATGGGAATAAAATAATTAAGGAAATTAGCAGCGCCAAAGACTGATCATGGTAATGCCAACGGAAGTAGATATGGCACCACTCGCACCTAACCTCCTCCTTTATTATTAGTATTCTTTTCAGACTGGGTCGATCAGAATAGTAAAATCCCGATATCGCAATCGAGAGTGCTGACCAATACAATAAAAAAATAACAACTTTGTGAGGACCATTTCAAACACAATACAATATTTGGCCTGCAATATAACTGGCTCATCATTTGAAAAATGGCACTCCCATTTGACTATTTATATGGCCATTCACCAAGTGTTCCCTCACCAAGCCATATCATATTTGCTGTGCTTGCAACAAAAGGAAAGCAGGCACTGATCAATCAAGCATGAGTTCCACAGAGGACCCCAGCCTTCCCACCAAGGAAGAAGACGATGAAGCCTGCCTCTATGCCATGCTCTTATCGAGCTTCCAGGTTTTCCCTGGGATTCTTAACGCCGCCATAGAGCTGAACGTGTTTGAGAAGATGTCAGAGAAAGCTGGAGGAGCTTCTGGGGGTTACTTGTCAGTTTCAGAGATTGCCTCTGAACTTCCCACTCAGCACTCTGAGCTACATGACAGGCTCGATCGAATGCTGCGAGTGCTGGCGTCTTTCAAGGTTCTGGATTGGACCACTCGCACCAACCAACATGGCCAGGTCGAGAGGCTTTATAGGCTGTCTCTTGCTGGCACTTATTTTCTCCAGTCTAAAACTGAGAGCCTCGCTTCTTTCTCCAACCTCCAGTGCCATCCAGCCACTACTAAAGTTTGGTATGTTTCACTTCTTATGCTCTCTGTTGTGTGTTTGACAGTTACTTTTAATGCCGCCTGACCAGTCTACTTGAATTAACTAGTCTCCTTTTCTTAATCTAATTTATAGATTAGGGCATCTGACCTCAGCCCAGCCCATATGCTCCCCGGCCAAACTTTTCAAAAGGGCCATTCCTAAATAACAGAACCATGTCGTCCAACAAATATATTACTATTTACGTTTCTAAATATAAAAATTAGTTGACTAATTTGAATAAATTAAGAAAACAAGTTAAGCTAATTATTTATAATAAATAGGTATTGTCTTTTCTAAAATATCCTTATTGATTAAGTTTATTGGCTAGAACTACTATAATTAGAAGAACTATTTTGGAAAAAATATATATAAATATAAGAGATAAAGTTTATTAGAGTCTTATATTTAGGATTAAAATAAAAGTTAAAAAAAGTCTTATATTAAGAACAGGAAGTAGTATTATTTGTTCTCCAGAAAAGCAGGTCAATGCCCATCTCTTTTAACTTACCCAGTGAGTGCTATGCCTATCAAGTATATGACGAGGGAGATCCAATGGGTGCGAGTGTCTATTTTCACCAGCCCTCTTATTTCTCCATATTTTTTTGGCCAGGAAAACAGGGTCAATGCCCATATCTTTTAACTGAGTACCATGCATATCAAGTATATGAAGAGAGTGTATACCAAAAAAAAAAAAAAAAGGTATATGAAGAGAGTGTTCCAATGGGTGCGAGCGTCTATTTTCACCAACAGTCTTATTTCTCCATCTTTCTCAGATTTTTACAGTACTTGACGTACTTGTCATTCTAGAGTGTACAAATATTGATCTATCTGAATTCTGAAATATACTCACTTCGTGGCTAAAACTATATGGATGCATCACTCTGAAGGCTGAACATAAAGGAAGCAATTCTGGATGGAGGAGTGGACCTGTTCAACAAAGTACATGGCATAACAATGTGGAAGTACATGGAGAAGGCGACCGAGCTGAATCGCACATTCAACAAGGCAATGGCAGGCCTGTCAGCAATTCAGATGAGGAAGTACTTGGAAGTGTATGAGGGCTTTGAAGGAGTTTCAACCTTGGTTGATGTTGGAGGAGGCACTGGTCAAAGCCTCCAAATGATAATCTCCAAGCACCCTCACATCAAGGGCATTAATTTTGATCTGCCCCAAGTCATTCAACATGCCCCGCCCCACCCAGGTACATCACCAAGGGCGTTATTACTTCACATATTGACTTGTTCTTTCTATTCAACATGATTCCCTATCAGCATTAAATTTTAACTTAATTCAAAGGTACTGATGGTCTGCATTGTTTGTATGTGTCTGATGCTGTGAAGGAATCGAGCATGTTGGAGGAGACATGTATGTTAGTGTTCCCAAGGGTGATGCTATTATGGTCAAGGTAGGATGATCCTCAATTGTTTGACATTTACTGAGAATATATATTATTGGACTGTTAAATCACACGATTCTTTGACTTGTGCAGGCTACGTGTCACAATTGGTCAGATGAAAAATGTGTGGCACTGTTGAAGAACTGTCACAAAGCCCTTCCTGAAAATGGGAAGGTGATCATTTTGGACATGATATTGCCTGAGGAACCAGTGTCAAGTGTTGCTTCTAAGTATGTGTCTATTGTAGACAACTCAATGTTTATTCAAGCTGGTGGTAGAGAAAGAACTGAGCAACAATTCGAGAAGCTCTGCAAAAACTCTGGATTCTCCAGCTTCCGTGTTGCTGCTCGTGCCCTCTCCGTTTATGGCGTCATCGAGTTTTACAAATGAATCCCAACTATACCATTGTTCTCGAGCAAGCTTGTACTTTCCAGTTTACAATAAATACCAAAATTTCAATCCTAGATCATTAAAACAAGAATAAGTGAGATTGCAGGTGGAAGGTTATGCTTCCCAAATTGGTCTGATTATGTTTATTTTTCAGAGATATGTAAGAGTTGGGAAGCTTTATTATGATTGTGATTCTACTACTCTGTTTTTGTTCTCTGCTTAAATCTTACCATTGGGTTTTTGTCATACCAATTATATTGGCCAACAGTGGCAGAGGGTGCATAAAGAGCTGGTAAGAATGGAGATTTCGGTAAAATTCATAAGTATGGTTCTCATTTCTCATCAAATATACATTGAAATGGCGGGGACAAAATGGGGGATTAATAAAAATAAAAAGAAGAAAACAAAACTACTTGTTAGCTAGATGCCAGATACCAGTAGGATGATTGCAAAGTAATGAATTACAGAATGATCAGCAAACTTTACTTGCAGAGGTGGTGGGTTTCCTATGAGGAGTGGTGAGAGAGAAGAGTTTCTTCAACAGCTTGAGAAGAACCAAAGTGCCAGGCTTACAGCTGTTTGATGCAATCACTGAACCATTGCTCTTCACCATTGTTAATGCTCCTGATCCACATCTCACTTCCACCATCTGCTCTGCAACACACCAATCATTACCCAACTGAACTCTAAACAACCCCACAACAAAATCTTAATCATTTAATCCTAATTTTGCAGATTAAGAAACCACCATGGGTTAGGTATGAAGCTAAACAGAAAGAAAAAAAAAAAAGAAACATCACCTCTGTGGAAGAAGATGAAGCAGAGGCTGCAGAAGTTGAACACAAATCCTCATTGAAGTTCTCCCACAATAAGTCCATTGTATCCTCATCTTTGTCATGATCTTCATCACCGATCACTTTTGCTTCTGATTCGTTTGCCTTTATGGCGTCTTCATGAGTAGCAGGAGATGGAATATTCCAGAGAGGAGGTGAATCAATGGTGAGAGGGCAAGTGTCGCTCATTCTGGGGAAGGTGAAGTCCTCTGAAACATCCATGGCTTCACCTATCACAAGTGTGGGTTAGGTTCGACCCTGGCGGAGGACCACTGGTTCTGATGGTTTGTCTTAGAGGAAAGGTTTTGGTTCAACAGCTTCTAACAAGTTCAACTTTCTTGGTCAATAGGAATGACAAGTTTTGGTTTATATTCCCTTGACCACCCTCTTTATACTCTTAGGCAGGCAGGCCAATTAGGCCTAAATTAACAACATTAGGAGGAATTCCCTCTCATGACTTGGACTTGACGGAATTTGAAAAATTACCATAATTACTGCTGAATTTTAAGAAACTTATCACCAAAGTTTTTAATAACTTTATATTAATTAGTCTGCAAAATTTGATCAAAGATCTTGTGACGGTAAGAAAGAAAGGGACGTGAACTGTGGAGGCCTCTTTCCATGTGTGTTTCTCTTTCTGCAAGATTTTATTCTGGACAGAAATAGCTCTGTATAATATAATTTAGTAATAGTCAGTTATTTTGGTTAATTAATTATGAAAAAGATATAAAATCGATTTTATGTTAATTTATTTCTCTCCGCCACTTCAATAGCAGTGGCAACAAAACAAATTAAAATATCATTCGTCTTTTGGGCATGGAAAATGATAAATAGCACAACAGGCATAATAATTTTTTTTTTTAACAAAAACAGGGGTTAATCATACACCTTCACCCGTATTTGGTAAATAAATTGAAACATTAACATAAGATGCAGTAAAGTGGCTTGTTTGTTGGTTCACGGATTAAGCACAAGCGACATTCATGTGAAACACACACGGAAGTCAGAGATAATAGATGAATCATGCACAGTGAATTGGGATTATAATTATAATTATTATAAAAAAAAATACACACAGAGAAATCTTTTTCCTGTTTCTTGAAAATTAAGTGTTAGAAATAGATTGCCTGTCTTGGTTATGCAATGGAAATTAAAAGGAGGAGGGAATATAGACCTTTGAGGGAAGCCAAGGGGTTGCCCATTATTAATATATAATTAAAATTAATAATAATAATGAATGGCCGAATAATTAGGAGGGAGTCATTTAAAGGGTAATTAGTTGGCACACAAACGAAAGTGATATTTGCGCCACTCAATCCATTCATCTTAACTCCTCTGGCTCCACATTTGTCCGCCTTCACACGTAATCCGCATAAATGTCCACATATTTAACTTTTAAAAATCTCTTAAATCATAATTATCGTTATAATTATTTTAATTAAAAAACCCAGTTTATTATGAATCATCTAAACTACATAAATCACATATTTGTGCTGATCAAACGATATATCACAATTTACTAATGCCCAGCAGGTCTCACACCATATGGGGACATATGGTTTGCATGCGTGGCCCTGATGAAACTAATTGATCCAAGGAGGTTTTCTGTTTGGGCCGTGAATGAAAATAGCGAGCTTGAACTAATTAAAAAGATAATTGAGTGAATTACAAAGATTGGTTGCGATTTGATGTGATCATAGGCCCAACAAAAGCAGGGCTTCACAGGTGGGCCTTGCTTCATTTTGCTCTTATGAGTTGAGAATGACCCATAGTTGACGAAAAAAATTCTAAGGCAGCGCCACGAGTCATATTTAAATAAAACCCCAAACTTAATATTTGTGTGATCAAGTAGTGTATTAAAAAAAAAAGAATCGAGAATTGCAATAGAGTCTCATATAAAAGAAATAACTATAAAAAGCTTCAATAAGAAGTGAGGAATTGTTATCTCCTACTCTAAAACTCATCCTTACAAGTTGCTTAGTTTTATTAAGATTTTATAGTAACTATGTTGTTTCTTTGAAATTTTATTGGAATTCTCTATTAAAAAAAAAAAGAGAATGAACTGTGATTATCTTGCCTCCAAGCACAATCATGTATGGTTCTCTCACATGAAATGCTCATTATTATGATATTATGGCAACTTTTTTTATGATGCTTGACCTAAAGCAATACTCTCAACTTTACACCAACACGCACGACACGTTTAACTTGTTAAAGGCTGTGGAATTGACGGGAAGACTTTATCCGTAGACTTTAAACACAGCTTCTCATCTTTAGAATTCACAATTTGACGCGTTCAACTCTGTGTCGTGTCATGAATTCTCATCCCAAATTTCCGAGTCGTCTTTTATTGTAGACCCAATACGCCTACCCTCTTTTTTTCGTGGCAAAGCCGAAACAAGACTTACATGCATCTCTTCGGGTTAAACTGGTTAAAACATAATTTGACCCCCAAAAAAAAAAAAATCGTTAAAACATAAATTTTGATTGTTAATATTTGTTATTTGACGCAAACGAACCCCAGGTTTGAAGATCCAAAAGCAGATGAAGGGCAGAGGAACGTGGATAAACTCGGCGATTCATGAGGCGAGCTCTCCGGGATCTGGATTTTCCAGGGGAAGAAGGCAGAAACTGGTCTATAGTGCCGTTTTTCTTTTGTGCTTTAAAGATTACATTTTTCTTGTGGAGTTCGGCGGAGGAAATTATAATCATGGGGGCGGAGGGGATGATGATGATTGATTGAACCTCAGAAAATCTATAATGCATGCCGTTCCGTCCAAATACTCCTCCTCCGGTCCTTAATATAAAATCCATTTAACTAATTTGATTAGATTAAGGAAATTAGGTAAGTTAGTTAATTATAAGAAAAGTGACACATTTTTCCTAAAACACCATAATCATCTTTCTTAATATCCCACCTCCCTCTTCTACTTGATTATGGTTAAGAGAGGATCCATAGGGGTAATTTAGAAAAAATTAATAAATATGAGAAATGGGTCTTATATTTAGGATCAAAACCAACTCAAGAATTGGGTCCTATATTAAGGACCGGAGGAGTACCATCTATCTATTACTACTAATTAATGCCTAATTATCTTAATCACCAAAATGAGACCTTTGAATTAATTAAGGCAGGTATTGCACGCTCAGCGTAAGATAATGTTTGTCATGAGAAAATGATGCAGAGCAATGGAGTAGTCCCTGCTCTTATGGCTTCCTCTACTACCCACTTCTCACTCATATCTCCCCATGGAGAAACACAGGAATCTTTTCGCA